AGAGTGAGCAACCATTCATGATGCTCCCTGCGTACTGTCCCTGTGCTCTGACACCGTTCAGTGTGTGGGTCATTATAAGATGCTAGGACTTCATGAATATTGCATATACTGTCACATATACTGTAGTTTATTTAAATTTGGAACTGCATCAAAATGCATCACTTTATAAAATATTAAAGACTAGATTTTGTGGTACTTTAAGATTAATAATTCCTGAATTCCACACACCCAAAAACCACGATTTAGGAAAATCAATAAAAAACGGAGCTATCAGAGTCCTCCTTGGTCTCTTTTACTTTTGTTTTGAATACTACAGTTTGAAAGTGGTCCAAGGAGGTCAAGCAAGATTTCCATACAGTTACCATGGAGATAAATGAACCATCCAAACTTGTGCAGCATTGGACACCATATAAATAGTATAGCACACTGTTCTTATGCTAATATCTGTTTATGGTCCCTGCATTAGTTAATATTTATGTCTGCTCTAACATGCATCTGTGTATTGTGCAGTATATGTGGCATTGCTTCCCATCTCCATATTATTAAATTATAGGCTTAAGACATTTATATTTTCTTAAAAACTTGCATAATGCAATTCTGATCAGCAGAGTCAGTCTCAAATCTCTTTGTTGGAAAAGTTTGAAAACGTTATTTCCTCAGGTCTTGCAAGTTGTATCAGTTTACAGGTCTGATTTTGCTCTTCCACTAAATCGGAAACACCATAAAAGCCTTCTTGTGGTCATGAGTGATGATTTTCTTTTGTGCAGCACAGAAGCTGTCAAATGCCACAGCTAATGCTTCTTTTCCCCCAGCTTGTTAAAACTGACTCTTGACCCAGGGGATAAATGCTTCATTGCCTCTGACATGAGTACTGCAATCATGCACCTGGAGACTGTCTGGCCCAAATGGGAACTCATTACCTGTGTCACCAAGACCTCTCGGCTTCACTCGGTGCCACATCATATTTTGGAAATCAAATATTTGAAATGGGTTTGAATGTTTCAAGCCAATTCGTTTATATAGCCCAGAATCACAAATCACAATTTGCTTTGAGGGGCTTTACAGTCTGTACAGCATACGGCACGCTGTCCTTGCTTCAGCTTAAGGCTATTTCCTAATGCTGCCATATTGCCTACAATTAAGGCAGTTTATCTATAGTTTATTTAACTGTTAGTCTATACTGCAGTGAGACTTTTCCTGAGACTAGTGGCATTAATAAAGCTATTTATGTGGAATTATATTTAGATTTAACTCACGTTTTTACTTAAAACCTGTTATTATTGGTTATTCCATTTCTGCAACTAATTATAAACAGCCTTTGGTTCACATGAGCTCTCCAGTACAAGCTTACACACATTTATTTAATTTTTTTTTCTCTGAAAGTTGAAAGCAGCTCATTGGATGAATGAAGCAAGCATGCACTTTGTTGTGCTTATTGACAGGTTGTATGATGTTGGGGGTCAGCGGAGTGAGAGGAGGAAGTGGCTCCGCTGCTTTGACTGCATTCAGGCCGTGTTGTTTGTCGTGGCTCTCAGCAGCTACGATATGACACTGATGGAGGATCCTTCAGGGGTATCTTATGAAAAAGACAAAATGATTTAATGCCTTTTGTTTTCTTACTTGGCTGAATTAGGTGCAAACTACATATATTCTCTCAGCCTTTGCCTACTTTACTTTTCCATATTTTCCCTTACTAGAATCGGCTGACGGAAAGTCTTGAGCTTTTTGAATCCATCTGCTCCAACGCCGTCTTTAAGAGCTCCTCACTGGTAAGTGAATTTGCACTTCGATGGCTTTCTTACAGAGGGATATGAATGTGTTTACAATACAACAAGGCATCACGTCAGAGTTTTGTGTTTATGACCTTTTTCTACCATGTCTCATCTACATGTGTGGAGGTGACTGAAACACTGAGTGGCTTTATTGATATTCATTCATGCCAAGCAGACAGGACACAAACTGGCCATGATTGCGTCTGGCATGCACAATTAGCATACAAAGTCTAATTGAGATGTAGGGCAGGTGATTTCTGGGAAGTAAGCTGGCTGCAGCGCTATTGAAACCTTTATGTAATTAGTCTGTTTGATTCTTTCACATTGTGAGTTTGTGGGGCCATTTATATGGGCGTGAATGCTGATCACTTGTTGGTAAGTAGCATCTGCACTTGATTAACTGAAGGCATTTAGGGGTGAGGGTGACAGCCACTTTGTGTTGAATTGGATTTCTTTAAGCAGTATGAAGAGATTCTATATAGGTGGTAGAGTACATATTGAAATACAGCAGGGTCGCCATAATGGAGTATTTAAGGCAAAGCTATTGGAAAGTATTGGCACACTCAACCGGCATAGAAGCCATAATCGATGAATAATAAAAAAAAATTGAAAGGTTAACAGGCTTTTCCTCTTTCTGTTTCGGTTTCTGTTTCTGTTTCCTGGAGCAGCAAACAGACTAATCCATCATATATTTGTTCTGACATTACGTTTTTTGTAAAACATCAGCAAATGGTATCAAGGAGCCACTGAATAGAGTTTTTAAAACACTAACGCTGACTCCACCTTCAGTGCTTTAGTGCCAGTAATGTGTGTTTTTATGGCTTAAACCACAGACACATGCAGTTTGACTGTGTACAGATAGACAATGTCTTCATTACAGAGGACGTTAGGATGCTCTGTGTTCATATACGGCAGTGTGGAGGAAACATTTTATTCATGAGGCTGATCCTACCATTTCATACTTTCAAATGTCAGTGTATAATGCTTGTGAAACAGCACAACGCTGCATATGTTACAAGACTGGTTGGAAAAGGTTGGACAACTTGACAGCTTTATGTCTTTCTACAGATACCAAGGCGTTAACTGTCCTGAAAGACGTCAACTGGAGGCTTATTTGAATGTTGTCACTGTTTTTCTTATTTATTTTTTTTCAATTGTGGTGCCATCTCTCGTTTCTACAGATTCTGCTTATGAACAAAACTGACCTTTTCCGTGAGAAGATCCTACACTCTGGAAGACACTTGAGATTTTACCTTTCTAGTTATGAAGGTACGTTGGAGAGAGTTGTTTTGTACTGTTAGAACTGTCAAATGTATGCATACATTTAAATGTAAAAATAGATACTTACTTACAATCAAAAAACCTACTTTAGTCAATCTTTAATAAAAACATATCCAATATCAATTTATTCCTCTACTTACTACTCAACTTGGAACTTGGTATTGTTTTTACAATCTTAAATTCCTCAAAGAATTGTTTGCATGTGTGTCACTGTTTTTGGTTGGACGGTTCACTGCTGTCCGTGGGGTAATCAGAATTCCTTTTGGCCGGAGATTGTCACAGTATCCACATAGAGTCTTCTGTTTACGTGCAGAACACTGGCCAGATCATGGTCATACATATTTCAGACTCATTCACAGCAAACTGAGAAGCAAACTCTTATTTGTGTGTTTGGGGGATTGAGAAGCAAAGCGTATGTACAGACTCTCATCGGAAGCCAGTGCCTTGCTTTTATGAATATTTAATGAATCATACATTGTTCTGCCTTCGCCCCCATCCAGGAGAAGATTGTGACGTGGAGGCTGCAGCACACCACATCACTGACACGTTCTCATCATGTAACAGCGGTCCCGACAAGCCCGTGTACCACCACTTCACCACCGCCACAGACACCACGAACATACAGGTGGTCTTCCACATGGTCATAGATCAGATCATTAAGGAGAACCTGGCAGCTGTCCAGATGCTGTAAAAGTCTCCGGAAGACTGTTGAGATTGTGTTTTTACTCATTTAGCACTGGAATGTTATTTTTATCAGTTATTTTCACGTTGTTGTTGTTGTTGTTTCCCTGTTTTTTTTTTTTTTTAATAACTTATTTTTTAAATTTTTTTTTTTGTTTTTTTTTTTTTTTTACCAATT